CGGCGGATTCACCCAATACAAAAACCTAGGGATTATAATTGGTATACGATATCATGATACAATTTTATGTAGGAAATAAGCCGAGCCAACAATCATAACCATTTTTTTGTTTTGTGATTGATTTCGCGTTTCTTTCACAAAGATTAGTCATCTTTAAATAGATGTTATCGGATGAAATATTGTTGTAAAACTTAACTTTTTTCGGACCTGTACTGCTTCTGCGGAATATTGCTTTATCAAGACATGGTTTGAAACTATCTTATTATATACAGTCTGAATTTAAATATTGAATGAAAGAATAATAAACCTTTAGCTTCTCAGAATAGAAGCGTTTTTTATTAGAAGGTCATACCAGAACAAAAGTTCATCGCTTCTATCAGAAGGGGATGCGCTAATTAATTAATAAGATACGCAATTTTTCGAAAATACTAATCAATGATTAATGAGATTTTTTAAGTAAAAAATATGTATACTTGTACCTGTCCAGTTCCTATTATATATGCATATATATATACATCACATACATCAATAGTTTCGCAATTATTCGATACACTGGTGAATATGAATAACAAAAATGTGCAGTTCACCTAAGAGGAGTATTATTCTCAAAATCTATCGTCCGTACATTTTCTTTTCGCCATCAAATTGACAAAGAGGGAATAAAAGTGCGATATTTTCGTTAATTTCGATTCGATATCGAATAATTCTGAGAAATTTATAAACATATAATAATAAGGATGACTGTTGATTTCTATTGATTTCTATTGATTTCTGTTGATTTCTGTCGATTTCTGTTGATTTCTATTGATTTCTATTGATTTCTCTTGATTTCCGTGATTTCTGTTGATTTCCATGATTTCTGCTGATTTCCGTGATTTCTCTTGATTTCCAATTGATTTCTGCAATAGAAATCAGTTTGTTCCCCCTTGTCATGACTATACGTCGCGTCTAGTCTTCTTCTCATAAACATCTTCCATATGACTAGTCCGAAATCGTTTGCAGTCTTTGGCCCCCGTCTTGACTGCGTAAGTGACTGGCATCATTTTATCTGTTATGCTAATTCGTTTTTCGAAAAAAGACTAGACATGTTGCGCCGTCCGGACACCAGTCCAAAATAGATTTCAAATCGAAAAAGGAAGAGCGTCCGCGACGTTGCATATAACAGATTGCAGTCTTATGTAGTGGTTTAGTCCGGATCAGTCTAAATAACAGAGATATCAAGCAGATGGTTAGATTCGAACATGCATACAATTTATAACTTAGCCATCGTTTAATCCATTGAACCATATATGATCAAGTGATCAACTCTAATATGTCAATACCATTCTAAGACAGTATTTAACAATTGCTCAAAATTTTCAACTTTTGTTATGAATAAATAATATTTATCATAAAATCCATTATTATTCAATATTTAAATAAGTCCGAATAAAATTAATTCAGAATTTTTTATCTTTTCCAAAAGATTTTTTTATTATCGAAATTTAGGAATAATTATTTTGCATTGTAAAAACAATTATAATTGAGAAAAAATAAAACTAATCTAAGCAAAAACAAATATTTCTTTCATTTGGTGATTAATGATTACTTTAATTTAAATTCTTTCAGTTTCAACTTGATAATCAACTAAAAGGCTATAATTTAAATCCACTTGTAAATTTAGACTACCAGAATTGATACTTACAATAAAATATAATTCTCATATAAAGATACTAAAATTATTCCTCAAATAAAATTAGTCCTATTTTTTACAATCTAGGAATTTTGAAGCACATAAATAAGCAATTCTCATTACGACGTTAACAACTGCTTTGTAATTTTATCCATTGTTTTGTGTTTCAACATACTTTTGTAAGTTTAGTATAAAAAGTATAACATTTTATCGGGTAAAGTTACTCGGTGTTTATTTTTCATATGGATTGGTAAAAATTGATAACTTGCATATTATGAAATATTCAATCAACTCTTGTCATAAACTGTTCGTTTTGAGAAGTTCTTTCTATTGAAAATGAAAATATGAAAACAAGATAATTAATATTTTACTATGTGTTTTATATTATTAAAGCATCTAATTCTGAATTAGTTATTATACGAAATAATTCAAATCATTAAAAAATTCCTGCACAATATTACACAATTTTCTAGTTTCACTATGAACCAATCTAAAAAGAGTTGTCTGGAAAGTAAGATCAAAGTAAAAATGAATTGTTTGAAAGATTAAGACTATTCTGGACCAAGGTTAGCGCTAGCTTTACAAAACGAACTAATAGTCATGGATGATAAAGATGACGTTTCATACTAATTCATATCAGTTTTGAAAATAGTCCTGACTAGTCAGACATTCGATATTATGGAGTTCAATGTTCGAATCCACCTGTCGTCATCTATCTTTCTGGGCTCTCTGTTTTACTGACGAGTCTGGACATTATGAATGGACAAAATGAACTAGCCATGACAGCTAGTGGACACAGTCTGGACCACTCTATATTTAGTTACACGACATACTCCGTCAAGATTACCAGTCCTCACTAATAGTAGGTCATCTCAGACTAGACCAGACGGCAGTGCAGACATTCGAGACTAGTCATGTTGGGCGTCCTCTGTTATTTTTTGCTCGCCTGGGTATGTAAATGTTTTCGTTCTTTTTCTTCGTCGTCCCTCTTTTTATTCGAATGATCTATATTTCAGATTCTGACAATTATTTTTATGTTTAAATTAGCCGAATTGTTAAAAAAACCAAGTTAGTAGGATATACCATCGCAATATCCTTCAATTTGAAAGATACCATTCATCGTTTTATGTCTTCGTTATTCGAATAGTTTTATATCTTATTTTACTTCTAACATTAAAAATAATTGAAAAAAAAAGAATAATTCTGAGTAACAGATGCACAAATGTCGGCGTTCATTCAGTACAGAATTTAGGGTGCGGATGGGATTTGAGTGTAGCTCTACTCATGGCCTAAAGCCCACTTGTATCCACAGTCTCGAAGAATAATCGAAAAAATCGTGTTCTGTTCATATTGAATGTTGCCGTACAATGTGATAAAGTGATAGATTTAACTCGAATATCTGACACACATCCGTGTCTATCAGAATTTGGAGATGAGGACAAAGTTTTAATATCGCCATGGACATGATTTCAAGTTGAACATGTTTACAAAACCTCACCATTATCATCTACAATCTATTTAATGAATATTTTATTACTAAAGAAGAATAGTTTCTCATCAGTCAAGTAGATATTAAAACATCTTAAAGGTTGTATGCATCGAGTTAACGAACATTTCTCAGAAAGGCGACTAAATTTTATTTTAAAGCATCTCATGGGTAGTAGTTGTAGATTCGATCATACAATTATCAAGAAAAATGATAAATAATAAGTAATAGCGTTCTTATGATTGACAGGATCACGCTAAAACATAGACATGTGTTTTAGATTCACTGGTATAATATTGTTTCAAAACTAGAAAACGACTTAGTACACTTTCCTCGATTATTGAGACATTCGCTTCAAACATCTGTCGTTTGATTTTCCCTTAATAGATCATTTATATTTCTGTTACTAATTCTATTCTTCTATAGTCTATACCATGGTAATCGTAAGTAATCATGGATAGAACTTGTGCCTATGACTTTGTTTCGTTGCGGTAATAATTTAGACCTCATATCTGTTCGTTGTCGGTCTAACTTGTTTAGAGCGACATCATTGTCGATCGTCAAAACCTCAAACTGGTTCCATCGACGTTTTCGAGTCTAACGATGCTATGAGTGATCAGAAAAAAAAATCACCAGAAATATTCATTGATGTTAGCAACTAGCTTTTGAATAGTTCTCAACCATTCAAAGCTATGATTTTTTATGTCTTTTTCTGTTCGGTTTTCATGGGTATTTCAGCTCAAAGTAAGCAAAACTACAACTCATAACATGTTCTTTTAGTTTTATCATCATCTATTGTAAATGCTAGTCATGTTTCACTACAAATATGGCTCACTACAATAGCTAGAGTTTATGGCTTCATCGTGTCTTGCTGGTTTGTCTAACCGAACAAACAGAGAATATTGATGATCTCTGTATGTTAAACCTCATTTCAGTTGAAAGAAACGTAGAGCATAGTCTTCGAAATGTAGCTCTGGACGAATGTGGTAATCGTTGAAACTTTTATCCAATAAAGAATTGATCATAAATCCGCACTCAAAGTATATTTCGAGTGAAAAAAGGTTACCAGTTTGTTTTTATAAATTGATCATTTTTTCTTTAGTCTTCGAAACAAAATCTTCACCATCGGAAAGTAGGATTTTCAATTTCTTGACTTGGGAGAGATCGACTAGTGTAGAAACGTAGTTATATGAGTGCAATGTGTCTCCGTAATTTTTAAGTTCGGTAAGTCGACGGGTTGGAATAAAACATGTAAATGCTATAAAATGCATCGAAAACGAGTAAGGAGTACATTCATTTCTATGGTTTACTCATTTTAAAATTGAATTTCTATAGATTTCATTATCAAAATAAAAGATATATCATTTCTTTACTTAATACAAAAATAAAAACTTTTTTAGAACAAATTTTGATTACTTAAAAGTTGTATTTCCCTTCAAACATGTCACATGAATAGCAAATTAGCATTTATCTTCGAAATTTTTCATGGATTATCAAACAAATCAAAATACTCTTTTGTAAACTATATAAACAATATGTCAGTTGCATTAAAACAGCATGATAGTTTTGATTGAAATGTGCAAGTGTCGAAAATAGAATATTATTAACAGTAAAAGTTGCAAATAATAACTAATGTGACCTTTAAATTTGATCAATAAAACAAATGTATTGTTACTAAATTCCTTCCTAATCGACAATGATCACTTAATAAAGATGCTGCTGAAATGACTTTTATAAAAGAAATCCCATGTTTGCATTGGACCAACGTAGTACTAAATTATATAAAGATAGAAGAAGAAATATGTTTATTTCATAAAAGTAACAGAATGAAAATTTGTTCGAACTAGACAAATTGTATCATTAAAATGAATATTAATGTTTAAATAAAAACAAATAACAAACCAGCTCCCCATTGCCGAAGAAGTGCAGCTATTTGATTTTAATATAAATTAAATGAAATATTATTGACAGCAGTTCGATTTGTTTAAGGAAAATATTTTCGAAGTGATTCAATTAGAATAATTATTGATTTTTCATTTAGATTTGAGTCATTTTCATTTGAGAAAGATTTTAAGGTTTTATCTAGGGATCCACCAATTCCTAGTTCGTGATTTCAAATATGATTTTGTTTTTAGTATTGAGAATTCATTGTTCTGCTCATTTTTGATTGCTGTATCCAATGCTATTGTTAGATTTCATCGACTATTAAAAAAATGAGGCTCAGAGTTGATCGAAATTTGTAAATTTTCAATACTAAAAGAAGCCACCTTTGAAACTACGATCTAGGAATTGGTATATTCTTATGTTGGTCAAATATTTTTCTTTTAATTTGATAAAAATAGGCAAGACAGCGTATATTTATACATGACTTTTTTTCTAGTCTCATAAAACGTTTTTTATTAGTCTACACCTGTTCTTCTATTTTCATCATGAAACTTTATGCATGCTTTTTGTTATTATTATTTATTCAACCATGTTTTTTTCACTTCGACGGATACTGCTTGTCTCAAATTGGACCAACGCGCTTTATCTTCAGAAGAAGCACTTATGAATGAGCTCACCGATCCAAGCAGTTTGTTTGGTGTGAGAAAAAAATGCAATGTCGTTGTTCGTCAATATTACTTATAAACGGATGCAAATTCTACCAAAAATAACCAACTGGTGATATTCAACTGTTGAATCGATTCTTTTTCGACAATGGAAATATTTCAAAGAAGGAGTATGGATGTCGATGACTAGAAGACCAAAGCACCCACGCCCACATCCTACATCTCTAATAACAATGAGAAAATTACGAATAAAACCTCAACGAACACTAAATACATTGAGACAATTGAACTAAACGAAGCTCATCTCAATTTAACGCATCTCAACGTACTTTTCATACTCATACAAGAAACTCATTGAATATCAATAGCTTGTTAAAATATTATTATTATCAACAATCATCGTTCATCGAGTGTTGATTCATTTAGCTCGAGACCTGCAGAATGCGTTGCAAAGCTTCGAATGTCGATTATTGAAAACGAATAATGCCGGTACAAATGAGTACGAAACATGACTTTCTTATGGATAATTGAAATCTACTGTAATTGATATTCTTTCTTTGTCAATGAGTATGGGGAAGAGTTACATTTTAATCAGCATCGGAAGAAATTAAATAGTTGACATGGCGAAATTCATTACTATGAGAACTCTATCAATGTATGAAAACGTAGTTAATAGCCTGAGTCTTCGAAAAAATGACTAGATGTGTTCACACCGTACACAGCACTTAATTTGGTATTGATTCTATGAATCGATATCAGCCGCTACTAGTTCTTCTCTTTCTACTGACATCTTCCGTCTATTATCATTCGCTTCTTGTCTCATGCGAATGAATTCACCTGTATGACAGTAAACGACAGAACAGAAAGAAAAGCATGTGACTCTTAGTATAGTTACACGGAAGTAAAACTTGCACAAGACAAAAAAATAAGATGGTTTCCCAATCGATTCAAACGAAAACGAATGTCATACAATACGACTTTCAACGATTTGTGTGCAGATGTATTATTGAATATTTTTGAATTCTTTACAGTAAATGAAATTTATTATTCATTTCATGAGGTTATTCCATATCTGACATCATTGTTGGGAAATGCCAAACTTCGACTTCGCATGTGTGATTCAATCGTTCCTGAGGTTGATCCTACCATAGTCGCATCGCTCCATATGCAACGTCTTTCGCGATCATCCTCGCCATTGCTATTCAACTTTATCAATCTTCGCTCGCTAGTTCTACATGATATGGAAGATCCATGGTTGCTTGTCAATCAACCCTTTGCAGAACCACTCGAACGTTTATACTTGAACGTTTCATTGAGAAACAAAAATACTATCATTACGGAATTTCTCTCACTTGTTGTGCGTTTGCCGAAGTTGAAGTATTTCACGATTATTTATTCAAGCTCTTATTTCATTGTACTGGAAGATTCATTTATTCTTCCAAAATTGTCGACTACTGTTGAATATCTGAAACTTGACGTGAAATGCTCAATGCTTTGTTTGGAAAAACTCCTTAAATATTCACCATTCATTCGTCGTCTTCATGCAACAGTGGCTTTCATTGAAGAAAATGCCGAGATCTATTCTCGAGCTTCAATGTTTTCAACAGTTCAGTATTTGTTTCTTTCATGGGAATATATTCCTATTCAAGATATCATTCGATTCTGTCAGACGATGCCCTGTTTAAAACAATGTACGTTAAATGCTGCAGATTATCGCGACGATCAAGATCTATTTGATCCAAGCACATGGCAACAATTTATTGAACATGATCACATTATGCTCACAAACGTTCAAGTCAATATGTCACGTAGACCATCCCATGATTCTCATCGTAATTCACACTGGATTTCGTTGAATCATGACCCCTACTTTCGTGAAATCAATTTCCAGTTCGAGAAGGACCCTTGGGGAAATATTATTCTCAATGGTAACTATGTGAAGTCAATATGAACTGATTGTTAAGGCATAGATTTCACGACTTGACGATGTGGATGTAGATCTCCTTCTTGTTTACAATTACACCTCGTAAGGAAGTAAAGATAAAAGAAATTTTCTAATAAAGTTGAAAATTGTGATGGAATTAGAATCAGTATGTATTTTCATTGAAAAATGATATGTACTCCAAAATGGAATGAAATTCTACCACCAAAGATATAATTTGAAATCCATCGACTTAGTTAAATAGTTATCAAGTAATTCTTCAGATTCGATAAGATTCTTCAATATTCCTGTCATTGATTTATGTGTATTTTTTATACATATTGAACACAATTGTTGAATACTGGTTTTAGTTTTTAACAGTATCAATCGTATGATTGATTCAAAATGTTGTACATATATATCGATTATAAAATGTTGCATTCGAGGACATAAAGCAACAAATAGTTTGATGTTTTCTGATAAATATCTTTCTTGAATAGTCACATTTGTAATATTATTTGTATTCGATACTAATTGAAACGTTTCACTTTGTTGAATTAGCATAGAATTTGATTTGTTGATTGATTGCAAATCGAATATCAATGTACAAATATTCGGGGTAAAACATAATAATTTGATCAATTGATTAAAAGAGAAAGTGTCACAATCAATGATTAGTGTAGTCAACTGTTTTAGAGGAATAATACATTTGAGAATGATCCGAAGCCATACACAACTTTCAGCAAAACCATACGAAAGAGTAAATTTCGTAGCATTTCGAAAATAACTTACACAATTCATAATAGCTTCTTCAGCTTGAATGTTAACATGATCCACGGAATTTGTATCGCTTTTTTGAAGACCTGGACGAAAATTTTTGGTTAACTGTTTATATAATATATATTGTTTTCTTCTTTAAAGTTGATATTCAAAGAACCATTTTCGATTGAACCAAAATAAAGAACAAAATCGATTAACTACGGAATCATATATCAACTGATTATTATCAGTATTATTTTCTATTGGATTAATATGTTCAAAATGGAAAATACGTAAATTAGGCATAAAAGATAATATTAATTGTTCCCATCGATGTGCATCGAAATATGTTCCATCATAATTTGTTGTGAGATGTAAAATTTGAAGTTGATTAAATAAACTTTTAATCATTAATTCAAATTTATCAAAATTAATATCTCTCAAATTAATAGGAACCTGTATTAAACTTTTGGATGAACATGAAACTGTTTCTGATTGATTGCTACGAGTTTCTTTCATCAAGGTAATGGAATGTTAAACGACGGACTTGAGAAATATATGATAATAAAGCATGGAGATTATTAAGATAAAATTGATGGGTAATAACAAGATGTTCAATAGGACTTGTCACATTTGTTGAAATAGGTAATGAGTAATAATCAGAATATTCTTTCAATGATATCTTACAATATTTCAATACTGGCAAACGAAATAGGTGTTGATAAATTTCATTTGAATTTCGACAACAATGAATAGGAATCATAACTAATAATAAGAGATTAGGCAAAAAAGATAAATAATTGAGAATATTGATAAAAGATATTTTGATTTAATATTATCAAAAATAAGTGTTTCTAAACGAGTAAAATTTGACGTGATACGTACTGGAGAAAAAATAACATCGACAACAAATGGATCCGTTAAACATAATGATGTAATCCGATGTTTATTAGACATGATAATATGTCTATGATAACTTTGAAGGGTGTGGGTGTGGGTGTGGGGTGTGGGGTGTGGGTTGTAGGTTGTGGGTTGTGGGATGTGGGTGTGGGTGTGGGTGTGGGTGTGCGTGTGTGCGTGTGGGTGTGGGTGTGCATGCAGATAAAACACCCACACCCATACCCCACACCCACACCCACACCACACCCCACACCCACACCACACCCCACACCCACACCCAGAGTTAGTATTGACTTTTAAAATCATGATGTTTCAATGTCTTTCA